CAGGCTTGAATCTGTTTTCCTGCCATTCTTTTTTTCATTTCTTATTTGGTCTCCTTTCTTGCAGATCCTGAAGAGGCCATTTCAACCCGTGTCTCTGCCAATTCTGAACACGCAGTAGAAATCCAGGGAGCTGACAATGAGCTGTCTCTCCGGCCGCAACTTAAGTCCCAGGTAAGAAGAGACCAGATGCAAACATCATGGGTACCGCAAGGAAAGATTTAGGTCTGGTCCTGTTTGGTGTGGGGTTGGGGGGGGGGGGGGAGGGACATGTACCCCTTGAAACATTTGATGTGGAGTATGGTGCGCTGTTGTATTTCATTGAACTCTGAGAAATAGAAATTTAACCCATTCAGTGCCAAGGACGAGATTACTCGTCCTACAGACCCCCTCGCGATTGGCCAAGGACGAGATATCTCGTCCTCGTAGTGCGCACTACTATATCTCACTGGTCATGCACTACGATCTAGCTTGGCCGATTGTGGCTCTTCGAGGGGAAACTAGCGGTTTCCCCCTACTGAATAAGACCTCACTCGCCGTGTTTGTTCGCCTCCTCCTCCTCCTGACTAGCATTTGTCTGCTCCACTCTCTATTTATCTTTGTGCAAAAGACACAATGCACAATATTCTTCACTATTAGGTATAGTTGCAACTTGCAGTGAGGAGTGGTGTATTTCGCAAGTAGCATACCCTGTCTGAAAACGCCTGCCATATCTTGATCAGAGCTGTGCTGGAAAATGTGCTCCGTCCATTTTTTTAAAATCCTTTATTACTTTCCGATTTTGATATTCTCCAGTGGTCTTTTCGTGGCAGTCTACCTGATAGCTGGCAATGGTACGACCGTCGTCGTACCATGTACAATGGGCATGCTTACATTGTGTGCCAGGAAGAGGAGGAAGGAGCAATGATCTACCGGTCTACTCATTCTCTCAAGGAAAGTCTTCAGGTGGCATGGACAAGAGTAATCACCATTGACAACCCACACTTTCGGTCATGGAGGAACTTTTGCATTCACAATGAAAAAATGTACTTTGCAAGTATTAGTGATAGGTATACATGTATCCCCAAGATGCATGTTGTAGATCTACAGGGAAACTGTGGTACTAGAGAAATACAATGTGATTGTATCCCAGCACAAGATACGAGTATGAATACATATTTCACGCCTTTTGCGGATGTATTTATAACCCAGTCGGCGCTTCTAATAGTATGCTTATGGCGCAATCATTTCTTAGAAGTTATTTCATTAGATACCAGACATGATGGTGCAGTATGGGCAAAATTGGACCCGCTCAGCATGCCGAAGCCGCCGGCCAGCATCTGCAGCACTGACAGTACTCTGTTTGTGATACCAAGGAGCGACCGCAATGATGCGCATTTGTCAATCATGAAGTTGGATGTAAGTGAGGAAAGTCTGCGAATGCCATCATGGCTCGAGATCAAAGTGGACGTGCCTAAGACTCTTCATGTACATCTATTCCATCGTGTTGTACCAGCTGCTGTGGGTAACACTATAATGTTAGCCGTGTACTATGATGATGATGATAAAATAGTCAATGGTGTGATATGTGTTGATTGCAGTACGTGTATAGGCCGGTGTTCTGTCTTGCCGTCGCCATGCAGTACATTCATTACATTCAAGTTGATGGTGGATGGCGATACGCTTATTGCACTCAATTATGATCACTCAGTGTCTACTCTTCAGCTACCTGAACATTTGTAAACACCAGTGATTGATCGGCTTCTACATGCATGTATGCCAAGGCGGTGTACAATGTAGATATTCTGCTGCGGCTAGGTCATGTGATGGACAACTGGTGCACACTGTGTGTGTTTTTTGTGATCCTGAGTGTTTTCGTTTGCACATGCATACCCTGTTCTGCTGGGGACCCATATGCATGATGTGTTTGGTGTCCAGTTCTTTCAGGCCATCATTCTACATAGGCACTGTCCTGAAATGCTTATTGTCTATGTACATATTATACATTGGGTTGGAGGCATATTATAATTATATAGATATTATGTATATAGAATGCTGTCCATGGATTGGATATGATGTATTATATACATAGATATTAGTTCTAAAACTCAACAGCTCTCTACACATACATACTCATTATAACTGTGTACATAATAGTCTTTTTTTGTCAGTGATTGACAAACCCCAGAGGTTGAATTGGTCAGCAGCCACATTACTTCCTTCCTAGAAATTGAAGAACTGACTAATTGGCTCTGTGTGTGCGTGCAGATGTGTACCGTACATGTACGCAAAATGGTAACGTTGCACTGGTCCAGCCAAGAGTATAGGGTCACTTGGAGAATTATGTTACGTCGGTCGGTCGGTCGAGATAGAGAGTGCATGCACAAGAGCGAGAGAGAGTGCATGCACAAGAGCGAGAGAGAGTGCGTGCGCGCGAGAAAGAGTGCGTGCGTGAGAGCGAGAGAGCGAGAGAGAGAGAGAGAGAGAGAGAGAGAGAGAGAGAGAGAGAGACAAAAAGGGAGAGAAATCACCTTACAATTGCATACAGAAAGGGTTTGCGTACATGTAACAAAAAGAAAAAGGTGCGGCGTTATCAATTGAAACAGATGAGTACTGTCACCACAATAGATGAAAAGCCAAAGATGTCGAGTGGAAGATTTGTCAAACGTGGATGGGGAAGATTTGTCAAACCAGCACATTATACAAAGTAGAAAGTCTCAAGACTTGATCAACAAGCAGTGCCTTCACACCAGAGCAATCACAAGTGCAGAGATGGAAGGAAACAACCGCAGCAGCTATATGATGCATTGGCAGTCCCCCTGGTGGTGGTGGTGATGGTGGTGGGGGGGGGGGGGGGGGGTTAGTGCAAGAATTTAAAAGTCGATGTCCGTTGCTATATGCTGAGCGTTATACACTGAAAGTGCTTGTTGCATTAGACCTAGATTTATATGCAAGTAACTGCATGCGAGAATATCACATACTTCGAGTACGTGCTAGCTAAAGTAGGAGCGAGAATATCATACACATGCTGGCTACAGTAGAGCTACAAGAAAAGCACTGTACTCGAGAATAGCATGACGCTACCAGCGTATACAATCCAACATGGAGTAACCGATCAGGACATTCATGTGAGGTGAGGCCTCTCTATCTGAGCACACGTCCGTCTGGCATCAGTTCTGCCCTTCACATGTTTCATAATCCCTACTCCAGTCGACCTGCATACACTGAGGGGGCTTGCAATTGAGACGGCCAGGCTCGACGTACTGGAAATGTTTGAAAGTGAACTTCTTTTTTATAAACGGGACCAGCAAAGTGCTGGAGCGGAAGACTACTCTCACCTGTTACCTTCATGGTCACAGTTGACAATGTGCAGAAATCATGCATGGCTGATCACAAGCAGCTCATGTGTACATCGTGTACCTAGTAGCTGTAGATCTTGGTGCAGTGGATGTCCTTGTGGGCACACTCACGATTACGGTTATAGCAGTAGAAGTAGCCGCTCTTCAGCTTCAGGACTTTCACCAAGCCGTTGGGCCAGCGATCCGGCTAAGAGGAACATGCAGAGAGAGAGAGAGAGAGAGAGAGAGAGAGAGAGAGAGAGAGAGAGAGAGAGAGAGAGAGAGAGAGAGAGAGAGAGAGAGAGAGAGAGAGAGAGAGAGAGAGAGAGAGAGAGAGAGAGAGAGAGAGAGAGAGAGAGAGAGAGAGAGAGAGAGAGAGAGAGAGAGAGAGAGAGAGAGAGAGAGAGAGGGAGGGAGAGAGAGAGAGACAGAGAGAGAGAGATAGAGATAGAGAGAGAGAAGGAGGCAGAGAGACGACATGGAGGAAAACAACTTTTAATAATGGTGCCATAGGGACTAGTGTGTGTTCGACTGCACGGTGCATTCAAACAGTGTAACGGTACAAAACCTCACACTTGGATGCCCAACAGAAGTTAACTTAAATTACTAGGCTGCCATCAACCTTCCAGTCCACAATCTCCACAAATTGGTGGTCATCACTCCATGAGAAAAAGTATCATTAGCTACAAGGCAGAAATTCCTTCAGCTTACACAAGATTATAGTGCAATCAACATGTCATCTGCCATGTCAAATACGGCTTGAACGTGATAATTATTATCAGGTGGGAGTCAGCAAATAACGACTTCTGGTTCAAAGTCAGATCCACTGCGAGACCATAACGAAGTACAATGTTATGTACAGTGTATTGGTGGGTAGGGTATTTATTTAACAGCAGTAATGTACTTGTAACCACAACCAGTCGGTGTGGCTTATGCCACGATGGTCAAATTCACCGTCATGAGCAGGATAGAGGTCAGTATTTCGTGACAACAATCTGGATGCAGCTCATACCGCAAGTGTGGCTTATACTCCTGAAAATACGGTAGGCCCCTTTTGCATGCAAGTGTGACTGTTGTCCGTGCCACGAGCCAAAACTAGATCCGACTGAGTGGATCCAGAAGTCAGTGTTCTCATGACAACAGCCTGGTCGCCATGTAGTTCGAAGTAGCACGTTCAAGCCCTATATCGTTCTTTGTGGATATAATCAGTTCAAATTGATAGTGATCACCATGGTAGATGTGTGTACATCGTAACAAAAAATCCGGGTGAGGTTTATACTCCACAAAATACTTTATGTGAATACGATGTGGTAGCGACTTCGGTGATAATTTAATTGTTTTGATTTTATAGGAAAGTTGGCTGCTCCCCACACTGGAGGGCTCGCTTTTCCGCCCACTTGACTTGGACTTGGCGTCAAGTGTCAAGTTAAGTTGGCGGAAAAGTACGAGCTTGGTTGTGGGGAGCAACGGACTTGCTTACGTATGTTGTTGTTGTTTTTCAAATCTCTATTCTCGCGATGGCCAATGGCCAGTAAGACTAGAGATATTGTTTGTTTGAATTCATTATTATCACGATGGCACCATCGCCAATTGTTGTTGTTGTTGTTGTTGTTGTTGTTGTTGTTGTTGCTATTGTTGTTGACTACAATGTGAAGTTCAAAGCACCACATCAGCGAAACCTCTTACCAGATCTCCACCGTGAAAATGCTCATACTCGGTGGCATCGCGAAAGCCAGCCAGCTGAAACCGGAATGCTACAGGGAAAATGGACAGGTCACAAAACATCGTGTACATTGTAGATAATTCTATGGGTTGACAGGCATAGTGGGGTGGTCTAAGATCATAATTGATAAACGGAGGGTACCGGGTTCAAGTCCCCGGTCTATTCTCGTATCGACTCTAGGGCCTATTCTTGAATGGGTTCCTGAATGCGCTGAACAATCCTGATCAGATCCAATCGTGCCAAAGGGCGTTTCAGGGCCGAAATTCCGATTCCTAGATCTTTCGTTTCCCCTCCTCACACCCTTACCTATCTTTATCGCCATGGCTGGCTATCACCCACTCTCTTCACTTTGACCGGAGTTTCCACTGAGTCGTGAGATGTTGCAACGAGAGAGCTTGGAAGCTCAGGGCCCTACGCTATGCTTTTATGCTTTTTTGCCTAGCTCATCGTACATGTTATAAGAACTGATGGAATTGTCTTTTTCCGTTGATTGGCCACATCACTGTATTGCAAAAACGTTTCAATCGGTTTGAATATTATGAGTTAGGCAAAAGTATTTGCAGAATTTATTGCGGATTGTTATTTCTCTAATAATCATCTACTTTTGTTTTGCTCCTTCTTTAATTGTTATCTCCTTATATTGTAAATCAACAAATTTTGGCCGATGAGAAATAGAAACCTCTCGATTAGAGAGGTTAAGATGCACGTTATTTCCGACGTGACGCGCAGTTTCACGTCAAATTTGAAATCGATCGGTATTTTTGCTCTCACATGCATCCATTGCTCAATCATGCATCATTTGCCTATATGACAAACGTTGGCCTGCGATTTACTTTGGCCGGTTGGTACCAAGCGGCGAAATCAGCGAAATTAAATCGCCAGCGAACATTAGTTGATTTTAATACAGGAATCGGATTTTCTGGCCTTTTTGTAGTAATACATGTACATTGACCTGTTGAGCCAATGACGACGCCGAATGCATGGTTGCCTGTGGAGCACATTACATAACTTTACAGTCTCCAAAAATACGTATCCTGTCCGAGGGCAAAAGAGGCTGCAGATTTAGTTTTTCTGCGCGTCGACGGGATGTCTATTATTATTATTATTATTATTATTATAGACAACACCTCATGGCATGAGAAGAAAATCAGCCAGTACGGGAGATGTGGGTGTTAACCAACCATGGTGAATAAAAGAAGAAAAGTAATGGTCAAGACGGAGAAGCATGGGAGGGACAGGTGATGGTGAATCTAGTGAGCAGATTTAAATGCGTCCAGGGTACTGGCATTGCGCGTAGTAGCGGGCAGCGCAAGCCAAGCAGAGTAAGCAACAAAGAGTGGAGAGCGTACAAGGGAGGACGTTTTAGCCAAGGGGAGGGCAACAGAGCATCTTGTCTGGGAGCCATCTGTGATTCGGAACCAGTTATACACGTTAAGATGAGGAGGATGTAGAGCTAGTTTAAATTTGTGAGCAAAAGTGCAAATTAATTTTTGACGGTGGGTCGACAGTGGGCAAGCATTTGCAAGGACATACAGGGAAGCAGAAGTGTAGAGAGGTAGAGAGGGGGTAGACTAAACAGGATACGAAGAAGTTTTCTATGGTGGATTTCGAGATGCTCAGCGAGAACCGAGGACAAGCCACACCAGCTAACAGCAGCGTACATGAAAAGAGGCAGGATGTACAGTTTGTAAAACAAAATTTTACATTTGAAAGGAAGATGGAAACAATGGGGACGTATAACACCTAGGGCAGAGCTTGAACGGCTGCAAAGAGCATCAATATGGAAAGACCAAGAGAGACGATCATCAAGCATTATTCCCAGGTGTTTATGGTTGGAAACAACCTTTATGGGTTCTGGGAAATCAGGATGGTGTAAAAGTGACATGGATGAGATTGGGGGAAGGAACATTATTTCGGTTTTAGTCAGGTTGGGTCTAAGTCGCCATGTTTGCATCCAGCGTAGGACACTGCATATCTGAGCCGACACTCGAGGTACAAGAGCCGCTGAGGACGAGGATGCTGACAGTAGGGTTGTATCATCAGCAAATAACGAGACACCTGGGTCTATAGAGGGTAAATCATTTACGTATGCTACGAACAAAAGAGGTCCAAGTATGGAGCCTTGGGGAACTCCAGAAGACACTATTAGAGGATCAGAGTTGATGGAGAGGGCAGAAACAAACTGTGATCGGCTACTCAGATAGGACTCCAGCCAGGACAGAGCAGGGCCAGACACACCAAAGACAATATGTAGCTTGGCAAGGAGGCCACGATGCCAGACAGTATCAAAGGCCTTTGCCAAGTCAAACAAACAGAGAGCAATATGGTGTCGAGCATCACGAAGGGTGGCAATGTCTTGTACTAGACGAGCTAGTTGGTCAGAGGTTGAGTCGTTGCGCCGAAAGCCAGATTGGGAAGGGCTAAGGCATGGTGAAATGTGGCAATACAACTGGTCGTAAAATACCTTTTCACATACTTTTGAAAGGGAGCAGAGAAGAGATATTGGACGATAGTTTGAGGCTTGTGATCGGGAGCCTTTACACTTGTAGATGGGCGTGACCTTAGCGATCTTCCAACGATCAGGAAATACGCCGGAGGAGTAGGAAAGGTTGAATATAAGGCACAGTGGGTACGCCAGAGATGGAGCCAGAACTTTGAGAACTTCATTTGGTAGGGCATCAGGACCAGGGCTTTTGTTGCTTTTTAGTCTTTTTAGGTAGCTGCGAACAGATGATGTGGTGGTATGTATAGAGCGCAGATCAGAAGACACAGTCGCAGAACGTTGCAGAGGTGGTATTGGAGAGGAATGGTCGTCTGGAATACCAGCTGATGTGAATTGCGTATTGAGAGTATTAGCTATAGACTTGGGGTCAGTCACCATCGAACCATTGGAAGCTAATAACGGTGGTATGTCTTGACGTGTACTAGTTGTCCTTTGAGTGCGAACAAAGGTATACAGGTTAGGCCTGGAAGAGGGGTGAGATAGGGTGGTAGTGAGCGAACGTAAATATGCTCGATACTTAGAACGCGACAATGACTTCACCAGATTGCGCTGTTTTTTGTATAAAGAAATATTAGCATAGGTGGAGTACTTCTTACTTAAGCTATAGTAGTCGTATTTGAGTTTAATTGCACCTTGGAGATCTTTGTCGAGCCAAGGGATCTTGGGGTTACGGCTGGACTGACGAGGGTGGTGGCTGCCATGTTTGGGTGTAGCGGGTCTTGCTCCGTATTGTGGCACATAGAAGGAGAGCACGTCATCAAGAACTGTGGTGAACTTCTCCACAGCTTCATCTACAGTAGTGGAGGTGAATAAAAGATGCCAGTCACAGGCAAAAAGTGCAGAGTTGATGATTGACCAAGTGGAGGGTGTAACCTTGCGGAAGGCATGTCGCGGAGGGGTAGGAGTCTGAGAGCAGTTGTAAGAGGTGTCAGCAGTGGCAATGTTGTAGGCTAGCGTTGTAATGACTTGCAAATGATCCGATGCAGCAAGCGGGGCAGCATCGTCAACAGAGCGTACAGAGAGGGGGCGGTTCGTAGCAAGCAAGTCCAGACAGGACAGTCTTCGGTGGGGAAATTGACAAGCTGCTGGAGGCCAAAGCTAGAGAACACGTGTGATAGCTCCGTACCAGCACGCGATGTGGTGTCACCACTCCACCAGTCAGAATTGTGGGCATTGTAGTCACCGGTAAGAAAACCATCAAATAAAGAGAGGTCCAAGGAACACAGCGTGTCGGTAAGTATGTCGCAAAAGGAGGTGATATCAAGAAGGGATTGTGAAGGGGGGCGGTAATGACAGCAAATGAGTAGCGGATTGGCCCGGAGACCTGCCGGTGCACCAAGCTCAAGCCATAAGGCCTCGCTTTGGGGAGAATCAAGGTCATGGCGACGGGTGCAATGTGGAAATGTCCCATCACGTATGAGAATGGCCACGCCACCATATCCATGTAGGTTTGATCTCAGGTTCTTATGTGTAGATCTGTCTTTACGGAAGCATGTGTAGCCTGGAACACTGAATGAAAGTGACGGGCTTAGCCAGGTTTCTGTTAAACATATTATGGTGGGCTTGTTGGCCTGACATATTGCGTACAATTCCGGAAGTTTGTTTGTTACAGAGCGACAGTTGATAGTTACAATGTTAATAGAATGTGCGTGGTCCGGGAAAAACGGGAAAGCATGAGCGCTCAACGGGGTGAAGACCGACATTAGTTTGTGGTAGGGGGCGTCGTGGAGCTGCTGTTGATTAGGAGTTTTAGTAGTTTGTTGTCCAGAATCAGGAAGGAATGGTGGTGCAAGTGGAATATGACCACTAGACATAGAAGAATATGTAACGCAATGAGGGGAAGGGTGTGATGAACTTGCGTGGGGCACAAAGGGTTGGGCAAGAGGATTTAGCTGTTGGCTAGGTGACCGAGGACCCATCACTTGCTAACGGAGTCGGCATAGCGCCATTTGCGGACGGTGTGCGCAATGGTGTCGGGCCAGAATTCCTTGTCAAGCAGCGTTTGCTCAAACTCTTCCGCGACAGAAACGCGTGCATAGCAGGTACCAAAGTATTGGGTTTCGGCAATTGTGCATGCGTATACATCAACGCCCCTATCAGCGCACCAGGTGACAATGGACTGTGCCTTACTTCCAGGGCTAACATTCCCGACAAAGAAGGCACATCGCTTGGGAAGATGTGTGCCAGTGAGTGTGTTGGGGTTGGGGTTTTCTGTGGCCATTTTCCTGTAGACAGACACAACTTTGGATTTTGTTGCCCGGGCAATGGGATCGCTGTGGGCCGCTGATTTATTGCTCCTTCGCCGCTGTTCTTGCCAGTTGTTCTGATGGGGATCGCCTTCTGTGCTCCCAGCAGCACCCTGAGTACATGTGGGCTGTACTGGTGCACCACCGGCGCCTGCTGTTGTAAGGGGTTGATTATATGTGCAGCTCCAGCCCGGGCTGGTCGACAGGCGGGCCAGCCCGCCTGCAACGGGATCTCGGGGTTGTACACAAATCCACACAAAACCTGTGGTGCGTTTACATGGCAAGCGGGCTGGCCCGGCGAGGCGGGATCCCGCCTCGAGGCACCCGGGATCCCGGCTAGGTGGGCCAGAAAAAGCACATAAACAGACCAGCCCGGGCCGGAGTTGTATTATTATGGTATCGACACTGCGTTCATACTACAAAATAGGTACTTTTACCTCTTGAGGGAAGTTATAAAGAGGATCCCCGATATTGTCTTGAAAATCTAGGAAGCTTTTTGTACAGCAACAAGAAGGACGTGCAATGAGCACTGTTTAGTTGTCGACATGCATGATTTATATTAAAATGGAAGGGGAACTACTTGCAAAATACTTTGATATGGACAGCTAAAAATGTGAAAAACAGGAAAAAGAAACGAGGTGATACAACACACCAAACATGTGTCACAGCGCGAAAAGAAATCAGCAGAAGAATACATTGTGTGAGAAAAAAAGGTTTTATGTTTATAACCTGAGTATGGCTTGCAGCCCTGCGTCTCAGCCCGGGGCAGCACATTACAGTCGTAGTGTGTTTGCTGCATACTCACAACGGGCTGGCGTGTGCTCAGCGCATATAAACTCACTGCGGGCTGGCGACCAGCCCGGCCTTGCACATGTAAACACCCTTGGCGGGCTGGCCCGCTCGCTCCAGCCCGGGCTGGAGTTGCACATATAAAAGGCCCCTAAGTGCGCCCCCAGTTGTTGCATTTCTACCAGTGTGTACGGGTATGTTCCTGCGTTCCATGTGGTTGGTGTTAGGTACGGTGGCCCTGCTAGTGCTAGTTGACCTGCTGTGTAGAGTGCGTGCATCCTCTTCTGGCTGTGTGCTATTCGTACTCACTGTACGAGTACAACGGGATTGCATGTCTGGAGTGTCGCAGTGTACGGGCTTGGATGAACCATTGTACTGCTGCTGGTGAAGCTGTTGCACTTCCCCCTTCAGCTCCGAAATTTCCAGCTTCAAGGACAAAATTATGCTATCCCTGTCCTCCCTCATGGAGGCAATCTCCCCCGCCAAGGCCTGGATAGTGTTAGCAAGGCTATCTAGCTTAGAGTCATTAATCCACGACGTACCGGTGTCAGTGACGGGCTTCCCTCCAACGCCGTGCTTCCGCAGTGCCTGCACCAGCTCTGGCCGGGCGAGGCTCGAAGGGGAGTCAAGGGACTTGCGTTCAGCGATGGCGATTAGTTCCTGGTACCCGATCAGGGCAAGATCAAGGTTCTGGTCCAGGGACATTCTTAGTTTCAGCAAGGACAAAGGTAGAAGGGTAAAACTGCTGCGGGGGGCTCCCGGAAAGCTGTTCCGAGGAGCACCAAAAACGTCAACCACCCCCTGAGATTCAAAAAAAAACTGCGACGCGAAAGTTCAGCTCGCGTTATTTGGCTCGCACGTCGAAAAAATCAACGCGAGTGACCTGCTGCTCACGTCGAAATTTGGACATTACATAACTTTACAGTCTCCTATATAAATACGTATCCTGTTCGACGGCAAAAGAGGCTGCAGATTTAGTCTTTTCTGCGCGTCGACGGGATGTCTGTCCTGACGTTTACTGGGACCGGCGCTGACTCTGCCGATCACGGGCGTTCTGGACTCGACGGGATGTCTGTCCTGACGTTTCCTGCGACCGGCTTAGACTCTGCCGATCACGGGCGTTCTGGACTCAACGGGATGTCTGTCCTGACGTTGCCTGGTACCGCCGGACTCTACCGATCACGGGCGTTCTGGAGTCGACGGGATCTCTCTTCAGACGTTTCCTGTGACCGGCACTGAATCGCTCGTTCACGCTTATTTTCGAGACGACGGGATCTCTCTTCCAAAGTATGTTTATGCTGACGCATCCTATCACCTAATCGGCGTCTATTCTAATTTCCTCCTCGTCTCCCTATTTCTTTCCAAATCCCCCTCTACATCAGGGAGTCGTATGCATAATACGACGAATATTGGTACGGTACGGGACAGATACAGGAGCCCGCAAATATTGTGGACAGCTATTATGTACAATCCTGTAGAGCCTTTGTAGTCACAGATACGGGACAGATACGGGATAGCGCCAGGCGTGACACAAACAAACAAACAAACAAACACACACACAAATACCAAATTAAAGCTGTGTGGACCCTGGCTAGCGCCAGACGTTACTGAAGTAACGTCTTCTGCATAAAAAAAAAGTAAATTATCGTATCCGTTCCCGAAGGGAACTCACGACGGCCGCTAACACCCGATAAACCCTAGCGGCAGATGCAGCGCCTAACGGTGGGGGTGAGTGGGCAAGTCTCACAACCACTGGCACAAGTGCCGAAAACGACCCCATTAGCTGCATCCATGTGCCTGGCCACAAGTTCCCAGTTGACTGTGGGTAGCAGCACGGCTGGAAAAACCGCTCCCAGGCAGGACTTGAACCAGGTACCTCTCGTATCTCAATCATGGTCTTTGACCAACCCACTGTGCCTGCCTGGACGTCTTCTGCATAGCTACGGGAATAAATATAAATTGATACAGTACGACCCGCGCTCAAACCTTTTGTTTTGTTTCTGGTTTCTCATTTCTCATGAAGATGGATGATGTAGTGTACTGGGACCATTTCCAACATAATCTGCTGTGAGAGTCGACGATGAAGTAGAGCAGGTCCCGGCATTCTTCCCGGTATTGAAGAATAATTCCAGTTCCTTTGCGGATGTGCTGGAGTTTCCCTGGCACCAGCACATGCACTGTTCCCCAATCCCATTATGTTTTAGTCTCGCCCACTCTCTCCATGTTAGATGTACTGCGCGGTCCACAGTCCATTCAGAAAAAGGCGAGCGCTGGCTCTGGAGAGCTCCCGTGTGTGGTGATTTTTCGTGATTTTGTGGTACACTGTGCAGTGCCGCGAGATTCGAAACTTGAAAAAAGGGTCCAAACAGGTACCTCAACTGTGGTTCAAACCGCGAATGTACTGTTATGCAAGTGCAGTGAACGGCCTGGATTTTCATGGTTTTTCCCCAATTCAGTGCTTGGGGTCGGGCGGATTCTGCCGGCAGAAAAATTGGCAGAATTCGGTACTTTTTATGGTAAATTTCATGCATGTTTGGTATGTGGATAAAGAAATGGAGCAGAATTCGAGGAATTGCCCGCCATAAGGTTTGTATGGTTCTTCCAATTTCACTGCTTTTCGAGCAGAATCCGCCGGTCCCTTGTGCTTTAGGGGCAAAACCTGGCTGAAATCCTAATATCGTTATGGCTTGCTCTTCGGAGAAATAGACTTCAAAAACACAATGAAGAGCATTCCATGGGGGTTGACAAAACCCAAAATTTGACCCATTAATGGCCAAAGGCCAGGATATCATCTTTTTCTGAATGGACGGTAAGTAGGAAACCATGGGTGCAGCTAGCTGAGCAACTGTTTTCCAGGACCGCGCACTGGCGACACTGCGGGCACTGGGTGCAGCACCCAACGGTAGATACATTTCGTCTTCGTGACCTCCTTCAATCTCCTTTCCTCGCATACAAGAACTGTATCCTCCTCAATCGCATGCAAGTGAATTACTTCAATGGGGGACGGGGAGGAATGAGTTGTGCAAGCCGAGGTCTCTTACCGTCTTCGACTTCCTCGTTCTAGACTTTTCCTCGTTCCATGCATGCTCTTGCCTGTGGTGCCGCCACGGTCGCCGCTCGTCGTTTCAGTGCTAGCAGCCGCCAGGGCCATGCCGCGTCGGCGGCTCGGCGCACTACACCAATGACATCATTTTTCCAAAATTTTCTTTTTATCTCAATCATCTGTGTCACCTGTCCAAGTTTTCCCATGCCTGGGTTACTTGGACCTCATTCGCTTCCTTGTCATTGGACATGCATGAATGCATTGATGGGCGTCTCGACCTCGGGCAAGATCACTCACAGACCTCGGTCAAGATCAGAGCGTCTTGGTGTAGGATTGTGTATTTCGTTCGGTTTGCGAACTCAAATAAACACAACTGCCAACTGGCCCCCAACCCCAACAATGGCAACATGACTGTCTGGACATGCAGTTCTGCGGACAGAGGTTGTATGACCGTTATACACTATACTATAGAGTGTACTGTATAGTAAACAAATTTTTAAAAGCTGACGGGATCGCAGGCATGACATCTACATAGACTACAAAATGTGACACGGACCCGTAGATTCACCCGTACCCTACCCGGACCCGGCCAGGACCACCCACACGCACTGCTAGCTCATTCGCTGCTGCGGTAGATCTACGCGGTAGGCTGGTACCTCACCTCGGCGAAACGTGCCCCATCAATTTTCCGCACTGGAGCTAGCTTCGTGGTGAAATATTTTCACTGCAGCGCTAGCTGTAGTTTCTTCAGTTTTTCATGCTACAGCCAGTACAGGCAGCCTGTAGACGAGTTGTTGTAGGCAGCCTGTAGACGAGTTGTTGTAGGCAGCGAGGTTATGTTACAGTTAGTTTGGCCGTCTGCTGCTTCGTGTCGAAGTTTGTTTGGGTGCAGGCTGTGTAAGAATCTGTGTGTTGGCCAAAGGGTTTCATCGAAGTTTCCTTGTGGCTCGGAGGCTCCAATCGACTGCTCCATACCGTCACGACGTCGAGAACCGGTACAGCCTATCCGCCTACGACGTTCAAAGTCGTGTCCAGGATTCAAGGAAACCGTGACTCCTGGCTGCAGCCTTCAGGAGCGCTCGCCACTGGACGTTCATCGTCCCCGTTTGTCATGGTGTTCCAGTGATTCTAGGTAAGTGGTTGGCCAGTGTTGTTCGGTTCTTGGGTATTGTTGTTCGTTCTCGTTTCCTGAAGTGGCCGCAGTGCACCGGTAACCAAGGTAACGGGTATGCATGGCTCATACTACTGTGATCGTCTCAACAACTAAAATGACTATTTTGCTTGTGTACTGCGATTGCGAGTAAAGTACGGTGAATAGGTGAATAGGTGAATAGGTGAATAGGTGAATAGGTGAATAGGTGAATAGGTGAATAGGTGAATAGGTGAATAGCTGAATAGGTGAATAGCTGAATAGCTGAATAGGGGAATAGGGGAATAGGGGAATAGGGGAATAGGGGAATAGGGGAATAGGGGAATAGGGGAATAGGGGAATAGGGGAATAGGGGAATAGGGGAATAGGGGAATAGGGGAATAGGGGAATAGGGGAATAGGGGAATAGGGGAATAGGGGAATAGGGGAATAGGGGAATAGGGGAATAGGGGAATAGGGGAATAGGGGAATAGGGGAATAGGGGAATAGGGGAATAGGGGAATAGGGGAATAGGGGAATAGGGGAATAGGGGAATAGGGGAATAGGGGAATAGGGGAATAGGGGAATAGGGGAATAGGGGAATAGGGGAATAGGGGAATAGGGGAATAGGGGAATAGGGGAATAGGGGAATAGGGGAATAGGGGAATAGGGGAATAGGGGAATAGGGGAATAGGGGAATAGGGGAATAGGGGAATAGGGGAATAGGGGAATAGGGGAATAGGGGAATAGGGGAATAGGGGAATAGGGGAATAGGGGAATAGGGGAATAGGGGAATAGGGGAATAGGGGAATAGGGGAATAGGGGAATAGGGGAATAGGGGAATAGGGGAATAGGGGAATAGGGGAATAGGGGAATAGGGGAATAGGGGAATAGGGGAATAGGGGAATAGGGGAATAGGGGAATAGGGGAATAGGGGAATAGGGGAATAGGGGAATAGGGGAATAGGGGAATAGGGGAATAGGGGAATAGGGGAATAGGGGAATAGGGGAATAGGGGAATAGGGGAATAGGGGAATAGGGGAATAGGGGAATAGGGGAATAGGGGAATAGGGGAATAGGGGAATAGGGGAATAGGGGAATAGGGGAATAGGGGAATAGGGGAATAGGGGAATAGGGGAATAGGGGAATAGGGGAATAGGGGAATAGGGGAATAGGGGAATAGGGGAATAGGGGAATAGGGGAATAGGGGAATAGGGGAATAGGGGAATAGGGGAATAGGGGAATAGGGGAATAGGGGAATAGGGGAATAGGGGAATAGGGGAATAGGGGAATAGGGGAATAGGGGAATAGGGGAATAGGGGAATAGGGGAATAGGGGAATAGGGGAATAGGGGAATAGGGGAATAGGGGAATAGGGGAATAGGGGAATAGGGGAATAGGGGAATAGGGGAATAGGGGAATAGGGGAATAGGGGAATAGGGGAATAGGGGAATAGGGGAATAGGGGAATAGGGGAATAGGGGAATAGGGGAATAGGGGAATAGGGGAATAGGGGAATAGGGGAATAGGGGAATAGGGGAATAGGGGAATAGGGGAATAGGGGAATAGGGGAATAGGGGAATAGGGGAATAGGGGAATAGGGGAATAGGGGAATAGGGGAATAGGGGAATAGGGGAATAGGGGAATAGGGGAATAGGGGAATAGGGGAATAGGGGAATAGGGGAATAGGGGAATAGGGGAATAGGGGAATAGGGGAATAGGGGAATAGGGGAATAGGGGAATAGGGGAATAGGGGAATAGGGGAATAGGGGAATAGGGGAATAGGGGAATAGGGGAATAGGGGAATAGGGGAATAGGGGAATAGGGGAATAGGGGAATAGGGGAATAGGGGAATAGGGGAATAGGGGAATAGGGGAATAGGGGAATAGGGGAATAGGGGAATAGGGGAATAGGGGAATAGGGGAATAGGGGAATAGGGGAATAGGGGAATAGGGGAATAGGGGAATAGGTGTGGGTTCTCTTCACTCAGTAGAGTCGAGTCGAGCCAGCTGTAGTTCTCGGTGCCGAAACCGAGAGTCCGGCTCACTCCCCTACATGGCTTCTTCCCCTTGTCTAGCCTCCAAGAGGAACAAAGAAGTGTGGTAGCCGACTGGCCGAAATAATAAATAAATAGAGCATGGTTACACCCACTGGTCTTTTATTCGGGCACGTAATCACGGTCGTTTGCACGGAATGGCGTCTGAAACTCAAAACACCATAAAAGCTGTAGATCTACCATGTGAAACCTTGTCACTGTGTGATAGTGCATGTACTGTAGTGGACATGGAAATCCAGTCGATGGACCGGGGCCGGCGCCCTCAGCGCGTACGATGCGACCAGCGTGCTGCGCTGCATCGCATACTAGTAATGCTTATCCACGGCTGCATGACCAGCGCCCTGTGGCCGCTAGACGTGCGACCGGATTTGCTTGTCCACGACAGTACATGTACATGATATTAAAAGTCTTACCAGAACTCCGTCTACAGAGTAACGTTGACTACTGGTCAGAGTATTTCTATGTATGGCGTGCGTGGAATATGGTCTGTAACTTCGAAGTATACCGTAGAATCCCGCGGATAAGCCCATCCCCCAGCATAAGCCCAGGGAAAGCTCGAACATCACAAGGCTTCGTCGTACAAGCCCATGGGCCTAAATTGTACCATGAGTCCATAAATTATGGACTCTTGGTCGTACCATGTACATGTATGATGTACGTAGTACGAGTGTTTAGTTTAAGTTTTTTTTTTTGTACATTTCAACACAATCATCGGTTGTTTTTGTTTGGACAGTGACTTTCAGCAATGTACTTCTCACTTCCTTGGTACTTTTCAATAGCACAATGTTGGTGTCAGCGTATAAGCCCATGCCCGCGTATAAGCCCATGTTCTTGTATAAGCCCACCGAAATGTCCTTGTGAAACAGATAAGCCCATGGGCTTATCCGCGGGATTCTACGGTATGTACCAGAACAGTCGCGGCCAAAGAAATGCGACCCTCGAATCAAAAGCAGCTCCGCATTTCTATTTCACCATGCATGTTAGAATAACCCATCCGGGAGGGCCAGAGGGCTTAAGCCTTGGTGCTTCTTTCAGCTCTTGGTTCGGACTCCCTGATACACGTTGCAATGAAAAGGGAGTGTTGCTCCCTTGTAAATTTGCTGAGCGGAGGGCTCGACATGCTCCTCGTACTCTGGACGTGCATTCTCGACGTTGAGAGCAACCAACTTCCTCAAGTTGACGTCATAGTTATGATGCAATGTGCGCGGATTATCAGACATATCCTGGACCTTAGCTAGTACAAAATAGCGCAAGGAAAAATGTGTGATGGTTTGATAAGCTGTACAAACGCCGTAAATCACTCTGGCCAGAGAAGCATTGCATCAAAACAATGCTATCAAATTCAAATTCTGTTGGGACAAAACTGTATGCGGTGGCTGCCTGCTCTTGGGGGTAATGCACTCTTGTAAATGCTCAGTGCACGCTCTTGGAACCTTGCCTCCACTGAAACAAAAGCGTGAAACGCTTTTAAACTTTTAGGGTTTCTTTGGAATCTGCAGGCAGGCATAGTGGGATGGTCTAAGACCATGATTGAGAAACAGAGGGTACCAGGTTCAAGTCCTGCTTGGAAGTCTGATCTACTCACGTCCCACCGCTTAGGAACTGCATCTGCGCCTTGATCCAAGAGGGTGGTGGCGTTCCTGCGGATACGGAAAACTGGGCCTTTGGCCGAGTCTCACGCGAACCGTGATTTTTTTGAATCTGCACTCGCTGAAAACATTCTGAAGAATGATATCCATTTCTACATCACTCATGATGTGCCACGTCTATTTTGGTGTGGTTGATTGTGTGTACATGTACAACAGATGGTGACCGACGTCCGTGACTTTTTTTGTTGTCGCAGTGATGGCTACAGCAGAGGTATGAATTGTCCACACATCATTGCTTTGCCAAATTCTGAAAAAGTTGTCTCAAAGACATCTTACAGTGTGCACGCACGTACACACATGTTTGCATGCGCACGTACACTCGCAATCACACGCACGTGCACACACACATATACACACACACAAACATACATACATACATAGTACATACACATGCATGTGCACACACACACACACATACACACACACACACACACACACATACCCGCTCCATGCTATCATTGGACGGCTAAAACGTGTGCCAATACGTGTAAAGGGCCATGTGGTATTATTGATTATCTTCAGCGAACAGTAATGTTTCAATGTGGCCTACCTCAGCCAACCAGGCCTCTGAAATGGCAGTGGCCAAACGCAAGCAATAAGCCCATACGAATATATCTGCAGCTAGCCAGGGCTGTCTCGTCCCCCGATGAACACTTGATCAACACAGCATAGATCTCAGCGCCAGGAAAACAAAAACAGAACTTGCATGGCACGAGGTGTGCTGCTAAGTACTGGTCGTAGCCAGGGAGTTGTAAAATACCGGTATTTTACGACTCCCTGGTCGTACCTTACTGGCAGCTTCTGTGATTCTCAGCTCATGGTATGCTAGCCCTTGGCAGGTACTGCTGGCAGAATTTTTGTGTTCAGAATTTTGTACTTTTTCGGGATGCTTTCATGCATGTTTGGTATGTGGATAAAGAAGCGGAGCAAAATTCAAGGCAAGGTGAAGTGCCTGCCATAAGTTTTGTATGGTTTTGCCAATTTTACTGCTTTTCAAGCAGAATCTGCCAATTTTTTCGAGCATTACCCGCCAAGGTCTACTGTATGCACTCTGTGTGTTGTTATAGGGCTTGAAAGTGATGACGTCAAAACGGCCAGGGAGTAGTAAGTTGACATCAGATTTCTATTTTTGGATCCACTAAGGTGTGACTTTGCTATTGCCTAAGTATATGGGTGCATAGCAACCAACTCATGTCGCAAGCAGGTGTGACTTTTATTTCGTCACCAGTTGTAACCCCGCCCCCAGTAGCCAAATCAGTCAGTTTCACTGGCTACATCACCAGGCTGTGGGTAAGACCGCTTGAAATGTGCTTGGATCCATACAAAAACTGGATCCAAGTGGATCCAGTTTTTGAATTTTTGAAATTGTTGCTATGCTGTGACGTAGCACTTTCAAGCCCTATTGCAGAACCCCGCGGTCAACTCATGGCCATGGTCAAGCAAGCAGTTCCGCAAGTGGATCCCACGCCTCCAAGCAGCGCTCAGCTGCGATGCAATTCGTGTTGAATGCTGTGCCAAGCGGTTGATCTCCGATGCGCAGAAGAAGGAATTGATGGCGATAAAAGATTGGGCCAAACACAATGACCGACTGCTAGATATGCTGAGCAGGGGTACAGCTGAGACTTTCCACACCTTCTGTAGTATTGTGCGTAGCACCGAACCTGAAGAAAACTTTTCAAAGTTCCTAGATGACATGAAGTCAGTGGATACCTTTGTTGGAGGTAAGTAGAAATGTTATCAGTCAGGTGACTGAGAGACACTCACAGAATTGTACATAGGGGGTGTAGCTCAACCATCTGTGGTGTAGTGACCATGTACCACCGACAACCTCATAGCCGCCATTTTGCCTGTTAAGACTATGTAGTAGCTATGACGACCATTTTCTGGTGTGCTGACCGGACTATGCTGACTATAGAGGAGCTACACACCTGCCTGTACATGTACAGACAATACTGCATGTCCTTGAGTTGCTTTACTACATATCTGTACAGTGCATATTGATGGCACCAACCTGCGTTGAAGTTTTGCAAAGGTGCTTGTCACGGACTGTTTGTGTGTGTGTGTGTGTGTGTGTGTGTGTATGTGTGTGTATGTGTGTGTGTCTGTGTGTGTGTGTATGTGTGTGTGTGTGTGTGTGTGTGTGTGTGTGTGTGTGTGTGTGTGTGTGTATGTATGTGTGTGTGTGCATGCAAGGAGGCAGGCATTTTGTGAGGCTGTGAAATGATTCGGCTATTTACTGTTCTCTGTGTCCTCTCTAACACAGGCAATGAAGATGCAGCAAACAGAGTAACTCGACGTCAACCAGCCCGGTTCACCGGGAACCCACCACCTTCATCCAGCCAAGCAACTCGCCCAAATCCCGTCACTCCCCACAACACAGCAAGAGCAGTGGAAACTAAGGATCCCACTACAGGTCACAGAGTGCAGCCAGTAGTGACTTCTGAGGTATGAGTGTACAGTCCATGCAGTATCATGTGATCAAGGGACTAGTAGTACATAGAAAGACGGCACGGTGCATCCTATCACTGCCTCCTGTGGGCTTCGAGCCTGGGCGCTCCCTTATAGTCACCCTTGGGCCAAGTTATACACACTCCAATATGGCGTCCATATCTCAGCATTCACAACAAGGGACGGACGAAGTAGGTGGGGCTGACATATACTAGGGAAGATGACAAATGGAGAGATAGAGAGACGAACTACTTCATGATTAGGGCAAGAGAGGAAGAGGGAGGGCTAGAGGGGAAGAGGGAGGGCAAGAGAGGAAGAGGGAGGGGAAGAGGGAGGGCAAGAGAGGAAGAGGGAGGGCAAGAGGGGAAGAGGGAGGGCAAGAGAGGAAAAGGGAGGGCAAGAGGGCAAGAGAGGAAAAGGGAGGGCAAGAGAGGAAGAGGGAGGGCAAGAGAGCAAGAGGGAGGGCAAGAGAGGAAGAGGGAGGGCAAGAGAGGAAGAGAGAGGGCAAGAGAGGAAGAGGGAGGGCAAGAGAGGAAGAGGGAGGGCAAGAGGGGAAGAGGGAGGGCAAGAGGGGAAGAGGGAGGGCAAGAGGGGAAGAGGGAGGGCAAGAGAGGAAGAGGGAGGGTAAGAGGGGAAGAGGGAGGGCAAGAGGGGAAGAGGGATGGCAAGAGAGGAAGAGGGTGGGCTAGAGAGGAAGAGGGAGGGCAAGGGAGGAAGAGGGAGGGCAAGAGGGGAAGAGGGAGGGCAAGAGGGGAAGAGGGAGGGCAAGAGGGGAAGAGGGAGGGCAAGAGGGGAAGAGGGAGGGCAAGAGAGGAAGAGGGAGGGCAAGGGAGGAAGAGGGAGGGCAAGAGGGGAAGAGGGAGGGCAAGAGGGGAAGAGGGAGGGCAAGAGGGGAAGAGGGAGGGCAAGAGGGGAAGAGGGAGGGCAAGAGAGGAAGAGGGAGGGCAAGAGAGGAAGAGGGAGGGCAAGAGAGGAAGAGGGAGGGCAAGAGAGGAAGACGGAGGGCAAGAGGGGAAGAGGAGGGCAAGAGGGGAAGAGGGAGGGCAAGAGGGAAAGAGGGAGGGCAAGAGAGGAAGAGGGAGGGGAAGAGGGAGGGCAAGAGAGGAAGAGGGAGGGCAAGAGAGGAAGAGGGAGGGCAAGAGGGGAAGAGGGAGGGCAAGAGAGGAAGAGGGAGGGCAAGAGAGGAAGAGGGAGGGCTAGAGAGGAAGAGGGAGGGCAAGAGAGGAAGAGGGAGGGCTAGAGAGGAAGAGGGAGGGCAAGAGAGGAAGAGGGAGGGCTAGAAAAAGATCCGGGGTAAAAATAAAGGAGTAAATTATCGTGCCTGTTCCCAAAGGGGATTCACAACGGCCGGTAACACCCGGTAAACCCTAGCGGCAAATGCAGCTACTAACGGTGGGGGTGAGTGGATAAGTCTCACAGCCACTGGCACAAGTGCTGAGAAACCTCATTAGCCACATCCATGTACCCTTTGTACCTGGCCACAAGTTCCCAGTTGACTGCATGTGGGTAGCAGCACGGCTGGAAAACCCGCTCCCAGGCAGGGCTTGAACCAGGTACCTCTCGTATCTCAATCATGGTCTTTGACCAACCCAGTGTATGCGTTCGCTTACCCGCATGAATCGATTCATGGATCCATTCTTGAATCGCCCCTGGCTATTCATATCACCCCATGTGAATAGGGTGAATGGATTCCGAATCGATTCCAGGGCTCATGACATGAAATCGAACGGCGAGATTCCATTAATGGATCGATTCAAGTGCGTGATGAAACGCACCCACTGTGCCTGCCTGGGTAGCTATGGCAAATATGGGCGCGCAAGCAGCTACCCAGGTCAATGTAACAAAGGGTGTCATGGATCTACGGCACGCAGGACAGCTGGGGAAAGTATGTACAGGGAATGTTTGGGAGATGAAGACCTAACACTTGTCTGGGCGCACGTGCGGTCGGAAAGTCAGCAAGTCATTGCTGTGACCCTTGCTACAATAGCGAGCGCATGTGACGGCAGTTGCATCAGCCTTATACATTCGTACCTCGTTTGTCCGGGCGGTCCGGGACCGGACACTACCCGTAACTTTGAACTGTCCGTAACTCCAAATCACATACATTTTGATGGGGAAAGACCATGGATATAGTATAATTGTGGTGTCACTATTTCCACTAAAAGTGACAAAAGGGTAGTAGTGTCTTCACTGAAACTCACCCAAAGGGTGCCAGGTAGACCAAAGTGCCCGTAACTGCGGGGTCCGGATAACCGACGTATGAGTGTGTTTTGCCCTTTTGAAGCGGTCAAAGCGTTTCTTCATGATAATGCAGTTGAATTACTCGCTGCTGCATTCGTAAGTGGTGAATATCACCAGTCTTATGTTGAAGAGTGACATGAGGTTGTGGTCCATTGGTAGGGAGTTCAGTTCCGGTCGCTGAAAAGCGAAAAATGCAGTCACAGCTTTCCTGTACAAAGTGAATGGGCGCCTCGTGGCAGCAGTTCGGGATGCAATTTGAGGCCCAAATATTTTCTCCCACGGCCTTTTCGGCCTTGTCAATGCTATTTTTAGGTAGCTGAGGTCATTACCTTTCCAATGGTGCCACACATGCCATGCTTCCAAAAATAATGCCTCCGCGCGGATGCACTTCGAAGTACTAATTTCGACCAGATCCGTACTCGGCCCTGCGGGGAACACCCGATTTTCGTTTTCAACGGCCTCGAATTAGTCTAGAACAAGAGGATTCTAGAACATTTAGGCTCGCGCTTTATCGCGATAGAAGAGAAATGATCACAGAAACCAGCCCACGGCGATTTCCTGGTGGTTGACGAAAAATCGAGTGAACTGCGCGCACACTGTAGAAGCAGTGACGGTGAAAACGTGTGACTTTTACAAGTAGGCGCGCGCGGCATGTGTGCACACTGCATGCATGCACACATCCTGTATCGCCATGTACGCACCAGATAGTGCAGTGCTGGACGGAAACCACATGGCCTACATACGGACTTGCATCTACTTCTGTGACTACTTTCTCCCCCATTTTCCGATCTTCAATCAACTATACCTCTAGATTGCCTTGGAATTTTGAGTTCAAAATTTCACAGGTTGTTTCTCACATCTTCCCGGTTTCAAAAACAAGAGTTTTAGGCGAAACTCGCGAATTTGGTTTTGAATTGAACTCCCTACCATTGGTAGTAAAAGTTGTGTGACGTGCTGCAGCCATCTTAGATCATCATCATTCGATTAGGCACCCCGAAGACTACAGCTTCTTAGCATGTCGTTTTGTCCGTGATTGTCGTCCATGGCAAAAAAGCGCTTCAAGTGAATGTTTTGCACAAACCCCTTTCTTGTAAGGGGAACTCGCTGCGCTTTGGCAGAGGTGTGCAGATTTGATTGGGGATGTAGGAGGAAGGGAGCTTCCTCGTACGAAGGGGATGTAGGACGCAGGGAGCTTCCTTTGAACAAACCCCATTCAACTCGGCAGTCAGCAGAGAACAAGAAGTGAGATTTCGATGTTGGCCGCCGTACTTCCCTTTTATACTATTGAGCAAGGTGCTGAACACTATTACCGTAGCAATCATCAGACGACTTGTTTGTCAACTTGTCTGATGATTGCTTCGGCATGAAACTTTGACTAAGAAAGTTGTAGACATCACGCAACTGCATTTTTGAAGAAAAGGGGGTTTGTCAACTGACAACCGCTCTATTCAGTTGCTTTTCACTATCTGTGCATGCGCTTCATTAAAAATTCTTTGTTGTGATGTTGGAAAAATTATTGATGTTTCGGGCCAGTCACACATTATCAGAGCAATTTCCAAGCTGAGAACCTGGCCAATGAAACTTTGAGTCAAAATATTTTTCGACTTGGATCCTCTCTCTGCCATACGCAGAAGCTCTGCACCCTGCGCACAAAGTACTCTTTAGGCAGCGTGCCACACTTTTTCAAGGGTATTTTATAGTTTACACTGGACTTTCACTGCGTATTGAAACAAATCACACCAGTGAGAAAAGAGTTTTACACATCTGAAAGTGTAGTGTAGATGTTCTGCATTAACAAACTGCTTGCCGTAAATCACACATGCAGGCTTCTACCGGCTATTTGCTGCTAGTTTTCTTCTGCGATGGAAGCGTGCTGGCTATTTGCCTACGGAGGCGGAATTGAACTGCCCGTGTGCCGGTCGGTTCTTAATTTCATGCTCGTGTCGCTGTGTATGTGTATGTAGACTTTGCAGAGCCAAGCGGGCAACACAGGGCCCTGGTCAAGTCGAGTGTTCCGCAAGTGGATCCCACGCCTCCAAGCAACGCTCAGCTGCAGCACAATCCGCGCGGAATGCCTGGGCAAAGATTTGATCTCCGATATGCAGAAGAAGGAATTGATGGCGATACAAGATTCTGCCACACACAATGAGCTTCTCCTAGATATGCTGAGCAGGGGTACAGCTAAGACTTTCCACATTTTCTGTAGTATTGTGCGTAGCACCGAACCTGAAGCAAACTTTTCAAAGTTCCTAGATGACATGCAGTCAGTGGATACCTTTGTTGGAGGTAAGTAGACATTTTATCAGTCAGGTGACTGAGAGACACTCACAGAATTGTATTACATGTACAGCAAGTACTGTTGGATACCATTAGTACTTGGGTGACAATCTGAGAAACGTTCATGTTTGGAAAAGAAGAAGTCAAGACCCTGGTGTTCCAGCCTCAATGCCTACTTGGGCAAGCTATCACTAAACTTCCCTGGCTTCAGCTGACTATTTTGTGTAATGTGGAACCTACAAGAAGTTGGGCAGAGAAAGGTGGTGAGGGGGCGGTGTGTTGGGACGCATTGGGTTGGGATACTTTGGGGTGGGGAACAATAGGCATGGGCTCCGAGTGGGACACAAGATGCCCACACCTCAGAAGGTTTTGGATTCCAAGGATGCATGGAGAGTTGGCCTTTCCCAGGATATCCAAACACCAGCGGCTGTACTGCGTAGCCGTGTCTTGTGGTGTTGTACATTCTGGCTGAAGAAACTGCAGGCCTTAGCTAAGCATGTTTACAACTGAATTTGTTGTCCTTCTACCGGTATGTTTGGTGGCGCATGCGTGTGTGGTCTTCAGTTTCTCCGGAATGCCAAAAAGACTGCAATAAAGTAGTAGACCTGATGAAAGAGTTCTCAGCACCGGAACGTCAACGGGTGGTCCACACTGCCGAGGATGTGGCACGAATGCGCACGTCACAGACCGTCCTCGACACGAGAAAGAAAATCATCCACGTACCACAGCCAACCTCGCCTGTGAACGTAGACTTGCTGAGCATGCTGAACATGGGAGAAGGTAGGCGCAGGGCTAGGAGAGAGGCTAAACTGCACGTTAAATTTGGACGTGATGTGCAATTCTAAGTCAAACAGGTCCTCGACGTGAGCTGCAGGTCTCTCACGTTGTTTTCCAACGCTCGGGCCAAATAACGCATCTCGTCAAAAATAACGTGCAGCTTATCCCTCTCTTTTCTCTACTGGTGCGGTGTTTGAACCCGGACCTGGAGCCAATGTTATCGTGGAAAATGAGGACAAAATATGCATTCAATCTACACGTAGCAGTATGTGCATTGTCCCAGTGATTGCATTTTCCCACAGTTGGAGACATACGTTAGTGATGGTTTTACTCTCTCATTGTTCTTGTACATTGCAAGTACATCGTGTGCACTAAGCCATGACTCGCATATGAACTTGAGGGCAAGGTGATTTCTACCCTGTGTAATAATTTTGCCGGCCGCTAGAAATTTGCTTTCAGTTTTTATCCTCCCGGTTCTGCTTTGATCCTTGAAGGGTGGTAGGGTTCCTACGGATGCGGAAAGCTTGGCCTCTAGCTGAGTCTCACCCGATCCATGGAATTTGTATTTTCCTGCTTTGGTCTTGCTCAGAACAACAGCAAGCGGTATTGACTGAAATCGACTGTTTGGCGTCCAACACTATCATCATTGATGACGTGAAGGACTGTGCAGATGAGGCAGGGAAGTACCAGGGTCACGTGACACGGGCCGACGGCCAAGTTGGTAAGCAATAAATTGTACCTGTATCTAGAGCAACAGCATATACAGTTTGCAGATTGGTATTATCCCACCACCACCACCACCACCACCACCACCACCACCACCACCACCACCACCACCACCACCACCACCACCACCACCACCACCACCACCACCACCACCACCACCACCACCACCATTACTAGGCACTTCAGTCACGTGACACGACCTGTCAAAAAGTGCTAACGCTGAATCGCGTACATGCGTGGCACCACGGAAAGGCGCATGCATAGATCGATCTGTAGCTGCACGGAATCTGCGCAGGGCCTTCTCGTGTGGCGCAGCGTGTAGCTGAGGCCCTCAGCTTTCGTTTGAGCCCACATACGTCATGATGCGGCAATTTTTTGAACTCACGTACAGTTCGAGTAAAATCGGCAAGGATTTTTCGGGCATTTCACTTGATTGCACGCATTTGCCATGTAGCTCATCGTCTTCAGCATCGTATTTCCTTTCGGAATCAGTTGTCCTCGTTTGTCCAACACTTTGCGCATTGCTGCGCAAGAAGAAATAATGCGAGGTGTTATTGAAAGCGAGCCGCGGCAGGCGTCCTCC